CCCCCCCCCAGGGCCATGCAGGGGACCAGGGAGCTGAGTTATGTCACTCACAGCCCCTTGGCCAGTGACTGAGTCTTAGGGACGTCTGCCAAATGCTCCTGTGTGGTCCCTGACGGCATGTGGTGGTGTCCCGGTGGGTTGAAAATGATGTGGGGGATGGTGGGGAGCAGTGATAGTGGAGGTCTCCACCATCTGCTCACTCCCTTGCTCTCTTGCTGGCTTTCTGACACTGTTGTCCTCTGGGCCCCTGAGAGGGAAGAGAGGGGAGTAGCTTCTTTTTCCAAAATGTATGGGGACTTTCTGGGGACTTTCCCTGGCAAGAAGCAGCAGCGAGCTTCCCCAGCGGTGCAGGCTGGGGGAGGCTGAGAACAGCAGGACCTGCAGGGCAGCCATGGTTGTGGCCTGTGGCCCTCGCCCAACCTGATGCACTCACAGGGTCCCACTCTGATCTGTCTCTGTCTTTGGTGTCCTCCTTCACTCATCCTGGGCTCAGGTTTAGGTTTTCCTGGCTTTGGGAGCAGACAGACCAGAGCCACAGTCATGCAGGAAACTTCTTACAGCTGCCTTCATGCAAACCTGCTTTCTTCTCCTTTCCCAGCTTTAGCATTTGGACAGGCAAAGTGTCTTGGTCTCCTCTTATTCCCTTGAGAGGAAGCCAAGGTGTACAGAGTAAGGGAGAGGAAGAGCATCATCCTCTCCACTCCTGGGTCTACTGGTGACTGATAGGTGGGTCATACATCTCCCCTGGGCTCAGCTTTCCCCATCTATAAAATGGGCATAATAATACTTACCTACCTCACAGGACTGTTGTGAGGCTTGGCAAGTTTTGGTTTAAAAAATTGTTTTGGCTTGGAAAGGGATCTAGGAGTCCAGGTATTATCATAATTGGGGAGATTATTTCAAGTCTGTCCTGTGTTCATCAGAGTCCCATCCCCATAATGCACATACATACGCAAACACACACGCACACACATTCTCTCTCTCTCTTCTCTGTCTTTGTGTCTCTCTTCTCACCCTTCCCCCTTGGAATTATTTGAGTTTCTGTAATGTTGGAAACCCTGGCTCTGAGGCTTTACAGCTTCTTGTCCATGGCTTTTGTGTGGTGGTTTTCCACAGAGGTAACTGGGCGTTTAGTGGGGACACTTTTGGTTGCCCCAATGTCTGAGGGCTCTGCTGGCATTTAGTAAGTGGGGGCCGAGAATGCTAAACTTAGTCCCGACAATGAAAAGCGTCCTGCCCAGGATTAGACCCACGGAGAAACTGGCATGGACTTGCAGTAGAAGATGTGTAGGCAAAGCCATCTTTCCAAGCAGACCCTCAGTGCATGCAAGTCTCGGGGTGATCTCCGGGGGCTGGTGAGGCTGTTTTCATGGCTTGTGGGCTAGAGAGAGCCATTTACAGAGTTGAACTTAGGAGCCCTGGTCACATGCAGCTGCACTGACTGTAAAGTCAGGAGACTGCAGACAAAGTCATTCCCAGCTCCCCGTCCTTGATCCCCAAGGTGCTCGAGAGGTCTGGGAGAGGGATGGGTGGAGCTCAGACTTTTCACATCTGGCTGGCTGCCCAGAGCTGGAGGCAGAGGGAGGGGTGTGAGAGGGAGCTGCGGGGATGGTGGCAGCCGAGGGTGTGCGTGGAGTGCGTGTGAGGAAATGTGTGACTCTGGGGTGGGTGAGCTGCACATGGAAGTGGGGCTGTGTGCACGTGTGTGGAAAGGCTGAGCATGCCCGAGATGGGGGAGATTCTGCACATTTCAGGAGCCATCTTTCCTGACCTGAGCTACGCCTGTTGTGGCATCTGGAGGCTGAGACAGGATAAGAGACAGAGGGGGAGAGCAGCCGTGCTCCTGGGCTCCATAATGCCATGACTCCATCTCATTGTCACAGACAGCTGGTGTCGGAGTGCTGGGGGGACGGAGGGCCAGCAGGCGGACTTCTCTCGGGAAATCCTGCAGCTTGCTTCACTTCACTTTGTCCCAGGTTGGAGTCCCTACCCTCCCACCTCCCACCTGATATGCAGTGCTTTTGACTATCCTATGCATGGTTTCTTCCTTCGGCTTGGATGACAACAATACTCACAGTCAATTTCCTGTATAACTATAGATCCAAACAACGCAGCACAAACAGGCCTCGGGGAGGCCTCAGATCTGCAGGTGCCTCTGGGAGGCGCAGGTGTGCACACACCCAGCACTGACTTGTGTTCAAGCACAGAATGAATGTGATCACACTGTCTTGCCTTGACAACATGTTTTGCATTGTAGAATTTTATTCAGCTTGGCCTTGGATGAAATAAAAATTATGTTTAATAGAAATGGTTTGGGGTTTCTATTTTTAGCTAATTGGGAGTTGGGTTCCAGTTCTTTTACTTGCCAGCTGAGCCTCAGTCTCCTTGAGACATTCCCTGCCTAGGTGAGATAACATGTAAAAAGTCTAAGAAAGTCTGGCACATTCACAGGCATTCAGGTCGTATTAATGCTGATAGCTTCTCTGGAGAAGTTGCAAAGATGGCCCTCTAATACTAATAGAAGTTGCCGGGGCCCTTCCTGTTGTGATGACCTTGGCAGTGATTCTGGTACCACTAAATGTCATCACATCCCCTTCCCCGGACCCTTCCACCCCAGGTTAACGTTTATATCCAGGTGAAATGTACAAGGTCAACCTTCAGGAGGAAAAGCACAGAACAACTTACTGACTGGTGTGAGTGGGCGCACTGGGCCCTGCCTGGCTGGTCCCTCCAGCTTGCTGTTCCAGGGAACAAGCTGTCTGGGGGACAAGCTGGCATGGAGGAGGGAGAAGCTTAGGCGTCTATCCCAAGAATGACTCTACCCATGGGCATTTCATATGGTCCATCTTAAATGATATGAACATAGATTAACCAGGCGCTCATGCCTTCTTGCCAACTGCTGGGCATAAGACCAGTTGGGGAAGGAATCATATATAAGTATGTGTGTGTTTGTGTCTGTCAGATTCCTGGATTTTATCCTACCATACTTTCTCATGCCATAGCCCTCTCTCCAATGAATTCACCTCAGACTGCCTTTCAAAGGGTTTCAAACCCTAGGTCCTCAAAGGATCTCATTAAAAGACTCTTCCTCAATCAAGGACACCAGCAAGGCAGAGGTCTGAGACCTCTGAGTTTCAGCAGATGTTCCTGACAGCACTGTTTTCTCAGCCCTCAGCTCAAGTACCTGCTCTGTGCCCCCACCCCGAATGGACTCATCACCTGGATTCCCGCGCCAACACGCACCTGTCTTCAGGTACTGCTTGTTGCTTGGGACCTCCTGCCGCTGTCCCGCCAGCTTTAGACCTGTCAGATATTGAAATTTTGTCTGAGTTTATAGCATTCTTGGAATGTCATGCTTTGAGCTTGCAGTTCCCCATGTAAGTCTCAGTCCCAAGGCCTGGATTGGTCCCCATCATTGCTGTGTTTCATCCCTACTTCCTTTCCCCACTCACCAGCCATCATACCTGTTAGATAAACAAATATGTCAGAACCAGATTAGGAACTGGGACTGTCCTGGGCAAACCTGTTAATCCCAGGCTGACCCAACCAGGACTAACCAGGACTAAAATACACATAAATGAAGGGTCCTTAATTTGAGCTGCTGGAAGGCACCCAAATGGACTCTTCTGAACTAGGTGATCTTTTAGATACTGGTGTCACTAAAAATGCTATATGTAGACTATACTCCTAGAGAGCCTACAGTTTCCTGTGACTGAAATAGAAAAGTTATTTTAACGCGATGCAAGTTTGCTTCTCACTTGTGGGTCTTATGTGCAGGCCACTCTTCACATCTTGCTCAGAGGCGCTGCATCTTACTTTGTGGCTCTGTGCTCCTCTGGGTCCTTGAAGCCCTTCCCATGCAGCTGGTGGATGGGGATGGTGAGAATGAAGATGGTGAGTTGGACGTTTGATGAGCCAGGACTGGAAGAGGACCACGTCATTCTGCGCACATGCTCCCCTCCGAGGGAGGCTGGGAAACGTAGTTGCTGGGTTCCCAGGAGAAAGTGAAATATGTTTTGGCAAACGCAGAGCATCCTATGAGATGACGAGTGTTCAGACAGCTGCAAGAGGCTCAGCTGCGGCTGAAGCCACAGTGGTGTGGTGGGGAATGGAGACAGGGAGGGAGGGCAGCAGGCAGGGTAGGCAGGACCCAGATCAGGCAGGGCCAGAAGGTTCACATTTTATTTTGTGGACAATGGGGAGCCATTAGAAGATTTTAGCAGGAGAGAGACAGGACTGAGTTGGAGAAGGCGAGACAGGAGACAGTGAGCATGGTGGGGCTGATGTGGTTGCCCAGGCAAGAGATGAAGGTAGAAGGGATGATGAGCAGTGTGAGGGTGGAGATAACTGAAGGAGTAGAATACACAGAGCTCGATGTTTAAGGGGCTGGGAGAAGAAGGTGC